CGGTTTCTGATGCTCAGCCTTCACTTGCTGACATACCAGACACCCATTCACGAACCTTGCCACTTGCCACTTCATACCTCGCCACCAGAAAGACTTCCTCAAGTCCTGATATATTTTCGAACTACCAGGATGGATGGTGTACGGGGCACTATGGGCCTCTCTCAAAATCTCCCTTCCCAATTCCCACACCTTCGGAACACAAAGTCTACCCTCGAAGACCAAGGCCCCATCAGATGCGACTGCGAATCCTCTAACTCTACCGGCTTCCGACAACTCCTTCATCCGGCAAAGGAAACGATCATTCGGTTGCTCGGCGACTATCCTCTCATGAAGAGTCGGTCCCACAACCAAAGAGGTCAACACACCCCTGGCTGTCGAAGGTGGCTCTACTGCCTCTAGCTGTAGCCGCTCGAACTCTCGAAGAAGGACCTCTTGCTTGGTAAAGAGACAGGACAACTGGCCATAACTCCTCCGACTAAGGGCATCGGCTACTACGTTAGCTTTCCCAGGATGGTAGCTAATCGTGTAATCGTAGTCCTTGACCAGTTCTAACCACCTACGCTGCCGCATATTCAGCTCCTTCTGAGTGAAAATGTACTTTAGGCTCTTATGGTCGGTAAAAATCTCACACTTGCCTCCATAGAGGTAGTGTCGCCAAATCTTCAAGGCGTTAACGACTGCAGCTAACTCATGATCGTGAGTGGGGTAGTTCTTCTCGTGAGGCTTCAGCTGCCTCGACGCATAGGCTACGACCCTCCCCTGCTGCATAAGGACACATCCCAAACCCATCTTCGAAGCGTCACTGTAGATGGTGAACTCAAAAGTAGGATCGGGAATAGATAGAACGGGCGCGGTACTGACTCTCCTCTTCAACTCCTGGAAACTCTCCTCACACTTCTGACTCCAATCGAACCTCACGGCCTTCTTTGTAAGGTTGGTTAGTGGCTGGGCTATCTTCGAGAAGCCCTCGATAAACCCTCGGTAGTATCCCGCTAACCCCAGGAAACTACGAACATCAGCGGCACTTCTTGGCGTATCCCACTTGCTCACTGCCTCTATCTTGCTGGGATCCACCTCAATGCCTCTCGCTATCACAATGTGGCCAAGGAATGCCACACGATCTAGCCAAAACTCACACTTCGAGAACTTAGCATACAGCTTCTCGCGGCGAAGAGTCTCCAGCAAAATCCTCAGATGCTCCTTGTGCTGGTCGATGCTCCGAGAATAAACCAAGATGTCGTCGATGAACACGATAACAAACTGGTCCAGGAAGGGATGAAACACCCTATTCATAAGGTCTAGAAAAACGGCCGGGGCATTGCTGAGTCCGAACGACATGACTATGAACTCATAGTGGCCATAACGGGTACGGAAGGCAGTCTTAGAAATATCCGACTCCCGGATCTTCAGCTGATGATGACCAAAACGCAAGTCGATCTTCAAAAATACACTTGCTCCTCTCAACTGGTCGAAGAGATGCTCAATGCGACTTGTTCTTGACTGTAAGGGCATTCAACTCCCGATAGTCAATACACATGCGCATCAATCCGTCTTTCTTCTTCACGAATAGGACGGGTGCTCCCCACGGCGAAACACTCGGACGAATGAAACCAAGATTGAGCAACTCCTGGATCTAGACATTGAGCTCTTGAAGCTCCTTCGGCGCCATACGATAAGGGGCCTTTGAAACAGGGCCGACTCCTGGTACTAGATCATTGGTAAACTCCACTTGGCGGTCGGGCGGTCCTTCGGGCAATTCATCAGGAAAGACATCGAGATACTCGCAGACAATAGAGACTCTCTCCGGAGACCTCTCAGAATCGTCCTCGAATATCATAGAAACCAGATAGCCTTGACAACTACCCTTAGAAAGGCTCTTCCTAGCTTGCATAGAAGAGATGACTCGAGGCACGATCCTCGACTTCACCCCAAAGAAAATAACAGGCTGATCGGGAGCGGGGAAGAGACTGACTTCGCGCTCCTGGCACCGGATATCGGCTCGATAGCGAGTGAGCCAGTCCATGCCCAAGATCACATCGAAGTCCCACATTTCAATAACATAGCAATCGGCCTCCAAATCACGCCCACCAATACTGACTGGAAGACTGGAAATCATAGAATCGGAAATAATGATCTTTCCCGAGGCTAGACTAACCTCGAGAGGGTCATAGTTGCACACATTATCAATAGACAGAGCATCCAAGCATCGAGAGGAGATAAATGAATGAGTAGCTCCAGTGTCACATAACGCAAAGATAGGCACATTGGATAAAGAAATCATGCCAGACATGGTACCTGCGTTGTTGGCCGCCTCGTCGTGAGCAAAGGTATAGACTCGGGCCTGACCCCCAGCCTTCTGTTGGTGTGGTGGGGGCTGCCTGTGCTGCTGCTGCTGCTGGTAAGGTGGAGGAGGAAGCTGCTGCTGCTGCTGATGGGGCTGCTGATAAGGCTGCTGCCTCGGGGGTTCGGGGCAGTGGCTGAAGAAGTGACCGGGCTTCATGCAGTTGAAGCAGACCTTCTGAGTGAAACGGCAATCTCCATGATGATAGCGACCACACTTATGGCATTTCGGGTTCTGACCATGGGCAGCTGGTGGAATGTCACGGCGGTCTGGTGCCCCACGCTTTCCCTTCCGGTTATCCCGGCGGGAATCAAACTTTCTCTTACCCGAACTAGAGCCTGGTGGTGCAGAGGAAATAGGTTGAACTAGCTGCGCAGAAGGGACGGAAGCATCGTGAGTCTGATACCTCTCAAGCTGGATGGCTCGGATAACGGTCTCATCAAATGAAAAATTTCCCTGGCTAGCAACATGCATACGGAGAGTTCGGTTCAGTCCATCTCGGAACTTGTGGGCCTTCTTCAGGTCAGTGTCCACCATATGTGGAGCAAAGGCACTCATGCGGGTAAACTCCCGCTCGTACTCCTCAACGGTACCAGTCCCCTGAGTGAGATCCCAGAAAGCGCGCTCCATCCTCATGCGATAACTCTGAGGATAATACTTCTCCATGATTACCTCCTTCATACGGTCCCAAGTCAGGGCATTAAACTCCGCCTGCCTTGTTGTAGCAAATTATTTTTATTTTTACCGAGAACCGAATCAAAAGATCCGTTCCCCGGGTCGATCTCTCAAGGAAGACGTTTCGGAATTTAGCGTTGGTATTGATCAC